TTCTCTTTACAAGCGCGAGTGCGATATGCTTGTTATATGGGATAAGAATCGCGCGAGCGCGCGAGGCGATGTATCAACGCGCCATGTGCCTTGCACATGGGGATCTTGTGCGCTCATGTATGTACGTACGTACTTGGTGTATGTATTTGTCAAGATGCTGCTCGCTGCCTCATAGTGGCCTCTTTTACTCCGTGAGTAGCCGAGTAAGAGCATTATATAGGCGTGTATACATTCGTTTCATATTCTCGAGAGTCGAGCGAACCAAGAGATACTATATTCCATGAATTGTGAGTAACTCGCTGATGGTATAAAAGAAATATAATTATTGAAAAATACAAGCCCGTCCTGCTTGGCACTTGGTACGATTTTATTTTTACAATGCGGAAATCAAAGCCGCTGGTGAATGTAAAATCACGCCAAGTAGGTGAGCGAGCGTCCCGTGCTGCGTTTATCGAGTTTTTACAATCTAGGACATCATATTTATTCCGCTACAGGAGGAAAAAAACATTCGATCACGTGCGTACTGCAAGCACAAGCGCACACTCACGCGTGAGCGCATAAATTGCAGCGGCAAAGGAGAGAGAGCCTGGGCCGCATCGATAAATTGCAACGCGTAAACACGTTCGTTGGTCATTCGCTGATAACACTATTTAATAAACAAAAGCGAGTTTAGTGCTCTCCGTTTTATGTGTAGCCTACACACATAAGTACATAATAACAATAAACAAACTCTCATTTGATCCTTGGCGCAGGAAATGAGAAAAACCCGAAACGAGCGCGACATCAATTTCCCCACTCGGTTAATAGAAATTTATTGATCGTAATTCTTTTTTTTTACTTTGTCCATACGCAGTCAGTACGCGCACACGCAGACACGACGAAGAGGGAAAGCTTGAAAAAAGTTCCAAGCTCGAAATCAAGTTCCTCGCTCGTTTTAACACCGCATTATCAAACTAGAAATTGCATCTGCCTCTGTATCTTCCTCGTTAGTTCCGGTTGTTTTTCACTTTCATGCATAATTTACAGACCATCATTTTTCCACTATCTCGCGGAAATCAGGAGAATGAGAAATAACAGGTCAGTTTTTCTTGATACTTGCGCGCGACTCGAACGACAAAAAGAGAAAAAGAGCATCAAGTATGCACCGCTGCATATGCAAGATGAATATGTGAGCACTCGCTTTTCCGAACGAAATTTCATTTTACGCCCCTTCATGCTATGTTAAGTGTGTCTCTACATATACCCATGTTATAACCGTTCGTGGAAAATATGAATTTTCTAATGGTACGCGTCTGATACTTGCTCGCTGGCTACCACTCTTTTTCTCCTCTCTTTTTTTCTTTCTCGCTTCCGCTATCTTTTATTACCGCTATGCTCGACATAATATTTTAGTCGTTTTATTTATCGTGAAAAATTCGAGCTGAATCGGCGCGATTTGCTTCGAGATTTTTTTCCAAGATGATACGATCCGATTGAAACTATAAAAAAATCTACAAAAAAGAAAATAGAAAAAACGATTCAATCACAGTAGACGGATTTTTTTATTCTTCCTCAAATTGGTTGACAATAGTCTATTGACAGTAGTAACGCACGTATAGATTCATCGTGTTTATGAGTAAAAATATTTTAACGGCGTTACGTTAACACATGCTTCAAATAATGCTTCGGTGCAGTTTTCACGAGTTTTCGCGCGTGAAATGTTTCAAATAATGAAATTTGAATAATTCATCGCTTGGGAATTTGAAAATTTTCATAATACACGCATCTGAAGAATCTTGGGACGTATCCTTCATATTAAAATATGATATTTTGTGAGTTAGGAATGTGACTCTTCTCTTTGCCGATAAACATTGCACATTGATCGTTTCTCTTTCTCATAGCGTGCGTGACATTTTGTACACGTAGCATTGTGTAAAATATTTGTAATTTCCAAGTACGTTTAAATAAAGTACAATTTCATGATATAATTTTAAAATACAATTGTACTAATTCACTTCTAGATGGCGCATTTAAAATCCACAAGTATAAATATAGAGGGGAGATCCTATATAACTCTTATTAAGAAATCAATGTAGATAATAAGTGATAATTAATATAATAATTATTATGTGAATTCTAATGACAATTTCAATATAAACCTGCTTTTGTTTAACTATGATATAACCCTGCTGTTGTTATATGTTAGCCATCGAGCTTATGGGTTATGCTGTCCCTTCTATAAATAAGGGAAATGTATTCAGGCAAACGTTTTATAATGTTAGTTACGAAGAGATTAATCCTTGTTATGAAATATTGTATGCGTAACGATGACGCGTGCCGTCCTTACGTGACAAAATAGTCTCGCGCGAGAGCAAAAACGAAATGGCAAAATAATAAGATCACTTTTCGATGGAAAGTGTAATATATTTTAATTATCGATTCAGTCCTCACAATGGGGGTTTCAATCGCAGCGCCTTCACGACTTGAATGAAATAAGGAGCAGAACATTTAAATCAACCGCAATTCGCAGAAAAAATGAGAAAGAGTAGGGAGAATAAAAAAAATTCACGAGAAGAAAAAATAGAGATTAAAGAAAGAACGGAAGATGCGAGCCCAGAGGCCGTACGCGCGCTGTAAACCTCGTAAAAAGTCGACTTTACGATGCCTGTGTCTCCGACATTAAATTAAAAGTTCCGGTTTTGTGTGTGTGCGTTTATGTGCGTGTGTATGTGTGTGTGTTCGTATCGTAGCACGCGCGCGCGCACGCAAAAATACCCGTATAGAGCTATTTGACATGCATATACGTGCGGGAACACACAAGATGAATAAAATAATACGAGTTATGAAGTCAACATAAGGTAGTCACAGCCGCATACGCCTACGTACATCATTACTTTGGATACAATTTTTTGTTTTTGCTGATGTTGCTTTTCAACATCGCGTCGGCTCGCTGATAATAAGTATATTAATCATCGTCATCGCCCGGTCGTTTGGTTTTAAATTTTTGTTGTTTTTTCGAGTTGGCCTTTTTGCGAGGACGAGTAAAACAGCCAGACTCCGCGGATAAGATTTATAACTCGATGAAAATGACTGTATATACGAAGCTAACTCCCTTTTTGCCTCACTCGTACTTTCGAAACTTTATTGCGTGATTAACATTCTGAAAATGTAATGGAGATAAACATGTATGCTGTATGCATGCTCGCTAGCGAGAGAGAAAGAGAGTGCGAGACAACAACGCGCGCATTTGCACGTTTACGCGCGTAACGCCGCAAAACGCCACACGGCAAGTAATTACAATGTATCTTTTGCCCGCGCGAGCGCGCGATATTACAAAGATGATATAGCCAATGCGATGGATTTTAAAGCACGTTGCGTGAACTACGTCGCACGATACGCCGCTGTTCACCTAATCGAGAGATTATTTTGCCGAGCGAGCGATCGAGCTTTTGGAAGTAACTTTAAAACGCTCGCAAAATGGATTATGGATCGTCTCGCTTTATATTACAAGCATAAAACCTCTGCTGCCGATGCTGATGCTACCCGCTGCTGCTACTGCTTCTCTTCACGCTATAACTCGAGTAAAAGGAATTTTGCATTTCGAAAATAAATGGATCTCCCCGTGTGCTTTCTTGAGCGGGGGGCCGGCGGCCTCGCGCGTCCTTAAGGGGGCGAATAACCCCCCGTCTCGAAAAAGCAGCTCCCGAGAATATAATCCCATTGAAGCGGTAACTTATCGACGCTTATAATCATTGCGACTTTATCGCGATGGCTTTCGGCGCGCGTGTTTTCTCGGATCCTGCTGCTGCAGCTCGGCCGATCTATTCTGTACACTCGGACGCTATATTATAAGTATTGCGGGCTTGCAATAATAATACGGAGCGCACTAGCCGGGCAGCTTCGGAGACGAAATCGAATCTACCACCAGAGAGACAATGAAGTTTGACAAACGTCGTTGTGTATTCATGGTTATACGTTGTATGGAATACGTATGTGCACCCACATCCAAGTGGCAGTTCATCAAAATAGACACATAACTTCGTTGGCCTGGGTGCGCGCGCGGCGTTCGCAAAACAAGCAAGTACGCATCGACGCCAAGCGAGACAGAGCAAGACAGAGAGAGAAGAGAGAGAAGCAATCTAAAGTTGAAAACCGTTTCTTGGAAATACATACATACATACATACACGTGCACGAGAACGTACGTGTATATATATAGACGTCACTTAGATGAGACAATTTAGATAAGGAAAAGTCAAAGAGAGCTATATATGCAATGTGCTTCATGCATATCGTTACACGCCGCGCGCGCGATACATACGTACGAACAAGCCACACACGATTCGAAAGGGGAGCGCGAACGTGAACGTCTTCACCGAGCGGCGAAAAAATAACGTTAAAAAAAGGCAGAATACTCTCGCGCCTTATGCATTATAACATACACACTACACGGGTGCGCGTCGAACAATCACCATTATGCCGAAGCGATGGAATATAACAATGGCTCGTCATCGTTGCAGCTTTTGTTGAATCTCTCATGCTGCTGGCTGATGCTGCCAGCAGTGTGTGTTAGTGTGTGTGCACGCGTAAATTAACCATTATCGTCGCGCACGCATTCGTTAAATTGAATTTTGTGCAAGCGAATCGAACGAGCGAAGAGAGCGAGCGAGAGAGAGAGAGATTATGGACGAAAAATTTTTCAAAAATCCGCTTTGGTACTGCACTAACACCCACGTGCACATTTTGCGAAAATCGCTGCGCGAATACCGTATAGTGCAGCGCGTATATAACGCGTCGAATAATGGATAAGTTTGTATGGGGAAGAGAGAAAATATACGAGGTACAACAACGTGATCGATCACGAGAGAGAGAGATGCGTGTGCGCTTTTTCGCGACAGCAGCGAGTAATGCACGACCGTGTCCATGTATGTGAGTGTGTTTCGATGTGTAAAAATAAAAACAAAGCAAAACAAACACCAGAGAAAAAAAGTTGAGATTTATAAAAGAAAAATCGACAACTCACCTAATTGGACGTACATCTTGGGCCTGACGTTCTCCTGCCATGCTGCCAACGAGAGACCGATGCAGACGCACACAAACCAGTAAGCAGCTTGGGTCTTCATGATTTTCGCCGGTTGAAGATTCACTTATTTATTATCAAACGCAGAAAACTTATTTTCACAACGTTGCGGTCTCGTATTATCGATACCAGCACACACGAACACTCAATTTTTTATTTTCGAACTATATTTTCTCTTTATTTTGTTGCTGTTGTCGCGAAACACAAGTCACCGATACATACACACACACGCGCGTCGTCGTCGAGTGGAAGGAAGGACTATGAGTAATAATGCCAGAAGATGAACGCACTCAAGAAAGGACGATGATAATGAATGGTAATGATGGCGGTGATGTTATGCACGATACTTCAGAAGGATGGATGGAATAAAATATTAAATAGAGAGAGAAAGATACACTTGTCACACGGCTTCGAGCGCACAATTTGAGGGGTTGTTGGGTTGGGTTATGTTATATGAATACGAGAGCGTGAAAAGGACTTTCTGGAGGTGCAATCACTTGGATCGCCAGCAGATTGGCGCATCGCCCTCCGTTATATTCACCGTCCTTCGACTTCGCAGCATCGTTTTCTCGCGTCAACCACCTCTTCCTCCTTCTCCTCGTCACAGGACGATTTTTCCTTCCGTATATTAGAGAACGTATGAAAAACAACACATCCACTCCCTGCCGCAGTGGCGTATATAGGTATAATCACACACGCGCGCACTCGCAGAGAAACAACTTTTTTCTTCGCTCGATTGACTCCGTCGTCGGGTTCTTGGGTCGAGCGATCAATGAACTCTTTTTTTTTTAATAATCAATGAATCGAAGCCGGAGCAGCAGCTACACTCCGAACACACACAGCAGCGAGGGCGATTGTTGACAAACACACACTCACAAACTGCACGCGATGGATTTTCTTTATTTATTTTTATTTTTTTCGTCGCAGAAGCGCACTAGAGAGAAAAACAGACAGACGTAGCGAAAGAGAGATAGAGAGGCAGTATAGGCACGGAGCACCGACACCACGACGACTCTCGCAGAGGTCTGCAAAAATTATCTCTCTCGGCACGCGGGGAGTTTCACAGACGACGTTCAGCGTCGAACTGGCAAGAACAAAGTTAAGCCGCCGTAATAGCCGGCAACACGCGCAGGCCCGTGGCGCATGCGCTCCCGCAGCCAGTCAGTGCCAGCTGCAAAGGAGTAGCTCGATCTGCAGCAACTGCACTGCACACACACACACACTACTAACACTACTGTGCTCGTACTGTGTGTATGAGGGAAAGAGAGAGAAAAGGACGACGACCGCGTCGTATATTTGCACACACAGACACAGTATACACACACAGACGGACTCGGGTTTGGCGCACACAGACGCGCGCGGCTGGAGAATGTGCGCGCGCGTTTATATATACACAGTCCTGCGTCTAATGATGGGGCTGCTACTGCAGCAGCTGGACGTAGAAGCGACCGCTGATGCTACTCAGTTCGATACGATGATGCTCTGGCCGTGATGCCAAGGAAACCCTGTAAGCAAAATACGTGTCATGATTATTACGCATCTACGAACACATGCTTGCTTTTAGATTAAATTATGATTTTGTATATAAAGTATTATTTGATCAAGGACTGAACGTGGATAATATCATCTGGGATTTTTCGGGACTATGGGGTAGAAACCTGCCTATCATCGTACGTATACGCTTCTGATTGGAACGTATTTTTTTCCTGAAATAAACGTACGGAATATATGTACGAATAAATACGATCGATCGATACAAAAATGTATAAACGCAATCCATTGTCTCGAGCTCGAATTTCTCTACATACACAATACGCGTACGAAAACATAATCGCCGCAATGGTAACTATGTGTAGTACGCCATCGGAGTCGTAAAACGGAGCACACAGAGGCCAAACACATCGCACATGCCTCGGGAAACTGCGTATAATAATATATAAAATAGAAATTTCGTGCACGCGATGGATCCTGCGCCGCGCGCGCATACACTACAATATCTGCAGACTTGAACTTTATCAAATACATATATGTACGCGTACGTGTACACGATACGAGCGCGAATGTGAACTCACGGGTGGCGTGGGCAAAAATTATGATGGCACAATGTACCGCCTTACTGCTTGAGAGAGCTCGTAAAACAAATTTCCCGTGAACGCGTACGAGAGCTAGCTCTTTTACTCGTCTCGCGCTGCTTACGTACGCGCCGAGAAGAGAAGATCTGACAATTTTAAGAAGCTAGAGAACGTTAATGGACAAAACGCGCATTGTGCAAATGTGAAATCATTTTACACGCTCGATGTACGCACGCTGTCGTTCTCGAGTGCGCGCAAAAAAAAGAAGCGCGGCGTCAAAAAAAGGTCATACCGTCCAAAAGAAAAGAGCAGCAGCGGCACTTCACCGCGAGTAATTATTCATTTCGTCGCCTCGAAATCATTGCGTCATTATATAGCAGCGCGCGCGCGGCGCCGTTTTTCAGCTGCTGCTCACCGAGAAATTCGCCGAGTCAAATATATATAGACGTGCACAGCATCCCAACATTGAGTCTTGAGCTCGTCGTCGTCGCTGAGCAAATTCGCGCGCACAACAGCATCGCCAGCGCGAGCGCTCTCGAAAACTAATAACACTCCATAAGCTCCGTCCCTTTTTCTCTTTGGTGCACTCGAGTGGCGCGCACACGGGTGTACACACAAAAAAGCCCTCGGCGTCATCGCGCACCCCCTATACACACACATATAGCTATATAGAGGAGCTAGAGCTGCTCTCGCCATGGCTCGGCTCGGCTCGCAAGCTGTATAGTTATGCAACACGACTGAGCGAGCAACAAACATCGATAGGTGTGCACATTTTTCTTCTACCTCGACTCTTTTTTCTATCCTCCTTTTTTTTCAACGTTGCACACATACACACGTATATAGATATATCGATAGAAACGTTCATCTTTTTCGGAGGCTTCGCTCGTCCGTAATGTTGGGCGCAACAGCGTGGAAGGATAATTATTTATCGCCGATACATCGTGTGTCTGTCTGTGCAGCGACAAATAATGCACATGTTTTTTTTTCTCCCAAGCTAAAAAGAAAAAAGCGAGAGCCACCGAGTAGAAGCTTCGCCAATTTTGGGCAATTTCCCAAAAGCTTTTCATGGCTCTTTCTTTGTTGCAATTTCGTCGATATATATTTTTCTAGAACACTAGTTCCACTTTTTCCCAATACAACTACGATACGAGGCTCTACACAAATGCACTACACACTCGGGTATAAAATTTAAATGGGTGATAATGCAGTAAATCATCGTATGCGCCTCTCCAATCGATAATGCATCGGAGGTAAAAGTTACGATGCTCTTGTAACTAACGATATATACGATCAGCATTCGATAATCAGTTGAATTAATGACCAAAGTTTTGTTTTAATTAAAATTTCACATGTATACGACGCGCTGCCGCTGCTTCTACTGCTCATTTCCATAGTGTAGCAGCAAAGCGCCTCGCACGCGCTTATAATATATGAAGCGAGCAGATTTTAATCTTCCCTAGGAAAAAGGTGTAAATAATTAACGCAGTAGCTAATACAAGCAATACATAAGTCAATATACATTGTGTTGCATATATCATTCAGTTCGTAAACTTTTCGATTTTTATCATACGTCAAAATTTGCTACGTGGAGCTTAATTAACGTTTACACATCAATTATTACGATATCGATGTATGCTTGCGTATACGTTCTCTCTCTCTCTCTCTCTCTCTCTCTCTCTCTCTTCCTCTTTCGTGTGAATTGCTTTCTGCTATATGTCAAATCGAAGGCTTTGCAGCGCATAATTGATATTTAATTTCTGCTTACAGATGTAGATTAGTGTTCGATATACAGTTTATATATTTGCGGAATGTATTCGCCTGTACGGAGGTAAGAGTAATTTATATCTCAGAAAAGCCCCCTAGCATAAATGTCCAATATTTGGTGGATAGAGACTCCATTGCATATTTCTTAGCTTTTCGAAATGCTTTTTGTGCGATAAAATGCCTCATTTTGGATACTAGTGTGTGGTAAAATGCCTGGTTTAAAATGAAACCTATTTTTCGCTTACTATTTATTGCATAAAATTTTGTATGCAACACGTGCCCAGCTTTTTGCGCACAGTATGTATGTATAAGGGCTATTCCACAACAGGTGTTGCAGGCCCAAAAAATGAAGTTGAAACTAACCATTTACTCTTCAAGAACACAATCAAAAATGAAAATCCTGATCACCACAGCCCCCTAGGTCCAACCCTCATGGGTCTACAGGGGTTCAAAGTTGGATTTTCATGGTATGAGGATATTCTGCTTCTTACTCTGCTTTTCTGGGGGGACATAAGAAAAAATTTTTAAACCATGTTTTTTCATGTAAAATTTGATGTAGAATTCAAATCTGTACTCAGATGAGACATTAATAACCTCAAAACCCCTTGAAATAGAAAGTATGGTGTAATAGGACATAAATGTCAAAAAAAAAATATGTTCGTATACCTCAAATCAGCCCATATTGTAATATGTTCATCGATACACCAAAATACAACTTCTGATAAAGTTTGGTAACTGAGTCTCCATTACAGATCATTATGAAGCTTTTGAAAGCCCAAAAAACATGGTTTTTTCCTCATTTTCCATGTTTTTTGCCTCTTTGCTAGCTACCAAATTGTCTCTATTAGAGACTCAGTTACCAAACTTTATCAGAAGTTGTATTTTGGTGTATCGATGAACATATTACAATATGGGCTGATTTGAGGTATACGAACATGTTTATTTTTTTATTTTCATGGTCTTTTACACTATTTTTTCAATTTTAAGGGGTTTTGAAGTTATGAATGTCACATCTGAATACAAATTTGAATTCTACATCAAATTTTACATGAAAATACATGGTTTAAAAATTTTTTCATATGCACCCCAAAAAAGCAGAGTAACAAGCAGAATATCCTCAAAACATAAAAATCCAACTTTGAACCCCTGTAGATCCATGAGGGTTGGACCTAGGGGGCTGTGCTCTCCAGGATTTTTATTTTTCATTGTGTTCTTGAAGAGTAAATGGTTAGTTTAAACTTCATTTTTTGGGTCTGCAACACCTGTTGTGGAATAGCCCATAAAAACACCACTCGTGGCGGCATGGGCGACACTCGTGTCTTTTTCCGCACACTCGTGCCCAAAAACGCTTTTTGGGCACTTGTTACATAAATAACTAGTATGCAACACGTTCCCAGCTTTTTGCGCCCAGTGTGCGAAAAAAACGACTTTTGAGCACTTATTGTATAAATAACTATTACAATACTCGTCCCATGGGGAAACTTTTGCTGCGCTCGGGACCTAAACTACGCCATGCCAAAAAGTGTTAATTATGGTACTCGTATCGTAAAGTACTATTCTGTGGCTAATTAATTTAATGTTTTACTTTAAATTCTACCTCTGTTGCCTGAAGGAGAGGAGCATTGAAATGAATATATAAGACTGGAGTGAGTTGGTTTATAACATATTTTATTAATATTAAAAATTTACAAAGTTACATTAGAAGTTGAAAAAAGTTATAAGTATTATTACAATTTTTATATATTTACATGGATATATAATATTTAATGTCCAACAAAGAGATTTTGGAGATCCATACGAGCTTAATTACTGTTTTTAATTCCATATATTAAATTATTATAAATTGATGTTATTATAAGGAATTCGTTCGAATTCAAGTAATTTGTTACAATTTTACAATTAGTTACAATTTTTTAATACTGTTTACAATTTTTCGTTATCTACATAGTCATGATAACAAAAATAACGAGACATCACGAGTTGTTGCCTATCGTAGGGCTGCCAAGCAAATATTATATAAATCCTCGTTCTTTAGCTTCGCAATAATCATTTCACAGCAGAGAACTGGCAGCTGGTAACGTCTCAGTTCATAGAAAGCATCCAGTGCCCACGGCCAGAAAAATCCCCTCGACAGTTTTTCGCACAGATGCCGTGCACAAACCTCCCTGTGGTCTTCGGAAAGATCCGACAATTTGTTCAAGCGCGCTACCTCGACGTAGTTCTCATATTTTAGTTGTTTTGCCGCCTCTTCCGGTCTTAATCGGATAAGGTCGTGAAGCGACAGACTAGGATTAACCATTATCTCTTTCGATTTGCTCACAAATTCTTCGTCGTCATACCAATATTCGTCAAGATCCACTGACTTTTCAAACAATCCGTACTCGGAGAACAAACCCATGATATCCAGGGTATTGTTACGGTCAAATTCGTATCCTCTTTTCTCGAGACGTTCAACAAGAACCACAATTTTTGACGATAATGATAATTTAAATCCAAGCCATTCACGTTCGTCCATCTCACTTATCGATCCGAATCTCTCGACGAAAAAGCTCTTACTGGGAAAAACGAAGAAGGACAAATCGGCGCCCCGATCCAGGAGTACATCGACCGCATTCAAGAACAGATTCGCTACGGCCCATTGTAATGGCGTCCGGCCGTTCTTGTCTTGGACATCGACTTGCACCGGCCGATCGACCTTTTTGCTGGCGTAAAAGAATAACTTGAGCAATTCATCGTCGTCGTAACGATCCTTGCTGATGACATGCAACGGTGAGAATCCATTCTCGTCTGCCAAGTTGGGGTCGGCACCTAATTTCAGCAGATACTTGACCACCTGACCGTTTCCTTTAGCCAGGGCTAGGTGTAGCGGCGTCCGGCCCAACTTGTCCCGGGCGTCGACCTTGACCGGCTTCTTTTCTTCGTTGCTGATCTCGATTAACATCCTCACGCGGTCCTCGTCATCGGCATACTTGCAAACTGTGTGAAGAGGAGTCGATCCCTCCCAATCGACTAAATTCATAGCGGCGCCCTTTCTCAGAAGCAATTCTGCCACTGCCCTGAGTTCTTTTTTGACCAGTGCATGGTGTAGTGGTGTAAAGTCGCACATGCCCCGAGCATCGATCTGCACCTGTCGATTCTTTTCCTCGCTGATTTCAAACAACATCTTAGCCCAGTCGTTATCGTCATCGGCCATGCAAATCAAGTGCAGAGCTGTCGATCCATCTTTATCGGTCACATTCGGATTGAAGCCTCTTCTCAGCAGTAATTCAAACAGCTTTTTATGTTGGTGACTTATAGCATGGTGGAGCGACGTTTTGCCTTCGTTGTCACGTGCGTCGACCTCGACCGGTCGTGTTTGCTTGTCGCTGATTTCGAAAAACGTCTGCAACAAGTCAGCGCAGTCCATCTTTCCCGCGCTAATCAAGTGCAACGATGTCGATCCTTTTGCGTTGGCTAAATTCAGATCCGCTCCTCTTCTCAGCAGCCATTCAGCTATTTGTTCGTGGCCGCAATTCAAAGCCAAGTGCAATGGTGTGCAGCCAAATTTATCTCGGGCGTCGACCTGGATCGGCTTATTGAATTTGTCACCCATCTCGAATAACATCTTCACCAAGTCAACATCGTCGTCTTCTCTCTGACATACAACATGCAAAGGAGTACGGCCCTCTGCGTTGGCCAAGTTTGGATCGGCGCGTCTTTTCAACAGCAATTCGTTCAGTTTCTTGCATCCATGGAACAGAGCCAAGTGTAGCGGCGTCGAGCCCTCCTCATTCTTGGCGTCGACCTCCACCAGCTGATTTAATTCGTCGTTGATCTCGAAAAATCTCTTTCCCAAGCCATCATCGCCGTTTTTTCTCTTGCATCTTGCATGCAAAGGAGTAAGTTCATTATTATCAGCTAAATTCGGACTAGCGCCACTTCTTAGCAAACATTCTACCAAATTGATGTTTCCTTGGTATATTGCCACGAGTAATGGTGTCCAACCCTCATTGTCCTGAGCGTCTACCTGAACCGTCTGATGTTTTACGTCGCAGATCTGAAATAACATCTTTGCCATGTTTTCGTCGTCGTCGTCACTACAGCAAATAATATGCAAACAAGTCTGCCCTTCGTCGTCGACTAAATTCGGACTGGCGCCCCATCTCAGCAGCAGTTCGGCCAAGGTTTTGAGGTTATCGTCCAATGCCCGATGCAACGGTGACTCGTTCGATTTGTTCCGGGCGTTGACCTGCAACGTCTGATTTAACTCTTTGTTGATTTTGAAGAATGTCTCTGCCAAGTCATCCGTGGAAATGAAGTGCAGAGGGGTAAATCCTTCTTCGTCGGCATCATTAGGGTCGGCACCCCTTCTCAGCAACAGTTCAACGGCATTTTTTTTAAGATTCTGCAGAATCAAGAGCGATGGTGTGTCAACCCGATAGTTGGAACCGTTGGCCTGGTGTATGTTATTGAGTTCGATGTTTGCTTCGTTGTTACTCGGCACAGCCAAAAACAAGTGCAATGGTGTGTCACCCGCTATATTCCGAGCGTTGACCTGAACCGTGTTAGCGAGTTCGTCGTTGAAGGCGAAAAATTTCTCCAATAACTCGCCCAAGTCACTGTAGCAGCATAGCTTGCAAATGAGGTGCAATGGAGCATCTCCATTTTTGTCACGCAAATTTGGATTCGCACCGTGTCTCAACAGCAATTCCATCAGTTTCTTCTTCCTGCCCACCAGAGCATAATCTAACGGTAAAAGGCCATCACGGTCTATGGTGTTGACCTGCAACGCCAGATGTTTCTTCTCGCCGATCTCGAAAAATGTCTCAAGAAAGGCATCATTGTGATTTCTCTTGCCAAGCGTGTGCACAGGAGTTACTCCGTCCACACTGGCTCTAAGCAGATCGGCGCCTCTTCTCAGCAGCACTTCGGCTACCTTCTCGTGGCATCTGGATAGAGCCAGGTATAGGGGCAGGTAATTTGGATATTTCGCGTCCGTATCTTGAGAGAAGCCCTCGTTTGGATCTTGCCCGAGTTCAAGAAAATTTTCGACAATGGTGTCGAGACCATACCAGCAGGCCACTTGAAAATGCGTTAATCCATCTTCGTCTATGTAATTTACGTCAAGTTTTTCGTAAATTTTAAAGAGATCAGAGATTGTGGCGGGATTGGCATCCTGCTTAGCCGCACGATGGACTGGCGTGGTGCGATGCAACAGTGGCTTACCATCTTTATCCATCTCGGGCGCGTCTTTGTAGCCGCTGCGAGCCACAAAATCTATGAATCGTTCCCCTGGTGCCTCGCTGGCGTCTTCATCTGCGTCTTCATCTGCGCCTGTAACAGATTCCATCAAAAGCCAATAAATCACTTCTTTCCGGAAGAAGTCTAGAAGATTTGGAAGTTGGCCTTTCCAATTATTGATGACGGCAACGAGTTGATGAAGAAATTCACGTCGATCCTCTTGAATCTCCCACGTGGCATTTTTCGACAAGTACCCGTACACTTCTAAATATTTTCTATCATTATAGCTTACACTGGATTCGTTTTTGGACATGTTTATACGCACTCACGAACACAAAAAAACACTAAAAATTACAAATTTCAATTTTTTTTCGCTAATTTAAAAACACGTGTCGATGAGACCACTTTTAGGTTGTGTATTCGTAACGCGATCTGAACGACTCGACATGCGGAATTGAACTGCTTAACTACTATTACATATTGAAGTTTGAAGACTTTCCAAGATGAAAGAGAAAGTTGGGCTAAGCATCGTTCACTAGATTCGGTGCATTAAACATGCGCAGTAAAAGTACCCTAGCCAAACCAGAGATAAATAATTTATTTTTTCTAATAAACAATTCGTTTAAACGAAAATGGGAGATATTGGCAGTATATTTTTAGGGTATATTTAACTTTAGTTTGAGTACATTTCCTTATCCGATAGCTTTGAAAAAAAACAAAATACGGCTATTTTTTCAATTGTATAGGGCGATTCAGGTAAGAAGTGCATCATCTATATGTGGAAATCCGAGAAACTTTTAACTTTCCGATGAAAAAAAAACTTTTTTTTTTTGGAGCACGCATGCATAATATGCTTTTTTGTCAACTTTTGGACTTGAAAAGTGATAAAAAAAGCAAGGCTTATGGTTTTAAGCAATCGATCATTTTTTTCAAGCAAGCAGTATGATAATTTTTAATTTTTTCCGTTTTCGCAGTCCAACTGAATGTAATAAAAATTGAAAAGGACTGTGATTTTTTTAAATAAACTGTTTATAGTCGATGCCAAAAAACGAGCAAAATCATAAACACAGTCAAGCATTACAAAGAAATGAACACAAGTTAGATGGACGCATCTTATAATGTTAACATATAGGAAGCATTTCACGTCAACTCACCCAGGCTACACCGTATTATGTACTCAAATCGCGCAATATCTACCTAGCTATAAAATTATCCATTTTTTACTACGAATTTGAAAAGAGCAGAAAATTTTACGTTTCAACATGCTTTTTTTTAATATTTCGCTATCAAGTTAACGATTTGAGCAGACTCGATTTTATTTAGATGAGGTATTTTATGTGCTGCAAGCGGTATCTACAAAATAGTCTACAGGGTGCTAAAATAATCGTAGAAAGCTCTATTTTTTTTTTAAATTTCTGGTTGAAAAAAGAACTTTGCGATGATACAAATTTAATTTGGACTAAAAAATAATGTAGTCCACGTGAACGTTCAAAAGATCCAGTTTTTCGGTCATTTAAATTGTTATGCTTTAATGCGACTATCAACTGGATATTGACGCAGATGGATTAAGCAACTCAAATCCATTATAATATATATGGATTTAAAGAAGACAAAATTTCCAAGAAATGAAAAAAAAATTCATCTTGATTCGATGAAAATAGACAGAGATAAAAGCATTTGAAAATTTACGAAATTTCAATAAAAATTGTTATTGCGATAAGTATAATGCGGAGCGTACTTAGTCCATTTCTGAGAGATTAGAGGCAAATTAAATTTGATCGTCCTGCCAAAATGTCAAAAATAACCCAAATTAAAATTGGCTTGGGGCGCGAAGTCAATTTTTTCCACCTTCTGAGTGTCCTATCAAAAAATGTGTTATTTTTAGTCCGTTGGCCCGGCATAAATGTTGTATTCAATTCGATGTAACTTTTTTTCCTTAAGGAGCACGTGGTCCCGCGACGTCTCAATCGATTCGGTTTCTCAAGACCTTTAAGTCTCTAAATTTTGGTAGAGAACGATTAATCGATCATCTCAGAATATTCGATAAAGTATGAAAAACGTAATTTTGTAAAATTCGAGTTCCCGTTACATATTTAAGGATTGGGAGTCTTGTGACGAGGGCACTGCTTGGACATAATTTTTTTTGAAAAATATAACCCCTCAACTACCCACAAAAAATTTTTCAAAGTGCTTGGTGAATCGATCATTTCTAAATATCACTAAGAAATTATAAATCGGGCCCGGTTCCTTTTTACAATGTGATAAAATCGTATGAAAATCATTTTATAATTCAGTATACTCCATGTTACATTCGTAAAATCTAATAACATATACATGATGACTTTCAATATAGTTTATAATAATAGAAGTATAGTCACTGATCCCGTTTAAATAATTACAGTTCGAGTTCCACATCGGTTCCTTAAAAGTTAAAAGTTTCCCGGATTTCCACATATATGCATCTATAAATTTATAGATCAGTTAAAAATGTTCACTGTGTACTTGAATGTCTTCTGTAGGTTGTAATAACTATAACTAGGTTTTTTGAAATTCGATTCGACTTTATCGTTTGAATTTTTTTGAAAGAGAATTTAAAATTTTTCGAAAAAAAATTTAAAAATCATTTTGATTCCCACTTTCTTTTTAAAATTGTTTATTTTCAACAATATTGGCCAGAAGGGTATTTCTATACACCCCCACTCGACAGACCCAATTCTTTGGAAAATTCTTCGTTCAGCAAAGTTACCGGATAAATCAAGTTTAATGAAAATCAACGTCACTGTCTCAGCGCCGCTCGCGCGCAGCGTCGACAAAATAACACTACGATTGATTGACAAGGCACGAGGCGTGCACATTTACTATCTACGATCTTGGTGCACGCGCGCACACACAGACAGAAAATTTAGAAACTGAAAATTATTCGAATCTCCCCTCCCGCAACATATATAGAGTTGAGCGCCTCCGAGATCAAGTTCAGGCCACGAGACTTGCGCTCTCGTGTGCGTCTACTACCGAGCGAGCAAACCGAACGATCAGCATATATATAAGATGTATAACCTTCTATACGTATTACGTACGTTCTCGGCTTCTGACTCGGCACTATGTGGCATATCACACAAGCCATCTATCCACTATCAAACTCAACCCCTCCTCCTCCCTCAGCTTTTGTGCCTCTCTCCGCGCACGGAGCGCGACTAATTTCGACGTTAGCTCCCGTCTAAGCAGTGACGCTCTTCCCTGTATACACCATCCTACTCCTCCTCCTCCCACGCACGTATACCGCGCGCACGAGATGCTGCCAAATGTAAGTTTGCCGAACTCGCGCGTAATTGTATATTACGCCCGCGCAGATGTAGGATGTATACGTATACTGCGCGTGGCGGCGCGGGCGAAGTTGTACTCGCTTATAACTGACACATGAGTTTGCGATTCCAAGTGTCATGTGCTGGCTCGTCAAAAAATTATACCTCTGACATTTCGCGACGATCGTACGATAACGAGGCACGACTACTGCTGCTGTTGCTGCTGTTGTTGTCCAGGAGACGACGCGGGAGCGGAAATATTTTTTTTTCTCGACAGTAATGAAGAATTTGCAAAGAAAACTACCGCACAAAACGATTGTCTATTGCGACCGAGGTATAGAGTATAACAAAAACATAAAAAAAAATGCGCCGTCTCCCGCTACAAATCGCAAACAACACAAAAATAATGACAAAGATACCATGCGCTTATATGTGTACGAGCAACTCGGACGAAGGCAAAATATACTCGGTGCAGGAAACAACACAGGGATCTGCATGCATATAAAAAGGTATATAGTCGCGGCAAGAGTCAAGCTAAAACAAGCCATCTCTCGGAATCGTCGAAAAAATAAGCGGAAAAGTAAAAGCTCGCCCCCGAGACTTTTGTTTTTTTTTTGTTTTATGTATATAGCTAGCTGCGCGCCGTCCGATGTCGGAATATGTATATATATATAGGCAACAGCCAACTAGTAGTATTTTTTATTCCGGAATATCGTGGAAAACAAAAGGATGCAGGCACAATCTTATTACTACCTAGCTAGTCTCCGACGAGCAAATAGTTGAGATAATGATAAAGAGAGAGAGAGAAAAAAAGGGAGAAAAGCGCGCGTTCCACATAATGAAAGTCTCTCTTCGCGTTCGTGTACGTGTGCCTGAGCGCATTCACGAATACACGCACCCATATATAGAATACCTAGCGAACGGATGAAATTCGCGGGGGAAAAATCGTCCCACAGGGAAGTACAATGGTTGCAGCGCGAGAGCAAAAGTCGTTTTCGAAGGGAGTATGAGAGGGCTGTGTGCGCGCGAGCTTTAGGAAAGGATCGATTTTTCGCGCGTTTAACGTCGCCACATTCATTGCCGAATCGTCGTCGTCGTCGTCGTAGCACATTTGGTAGAAAGATCGATGTATCGTACCATTTCGCTTAGAGTTGCTGCTGCTGCGCACAATGCGTACAAAGTATAGCCCGTCTAAATTTTATTTTTCCATTTGAGAGCTGCCATGCCCTGTGCGCACTGCCTCTTGCACTGTGTGCTGCTGCTGCATTTTATTGCTTGACGCCTTTTTTACACCTATATATGCTACCAGTTATGCTGCACAATTTCGCAGCTGAAATGTATTATACGCGCTTCTCCGTGATATTCATCGATATAGATGCACGCGCGAGAAGTACCCGATTACGTACCTCGAGAAAAACGGATCTACTTTTGGACGTGCTGGGGTAGGAGTAGGTGGGGAGCCAGAGGAGCGGCAAAGGGAGCTAGAGCTGCGCCGAAGGAAAAAGCAGTGCTCAAGGCGTTGAAAAGCTGACAAGGGACACGAAAACATTGAAAATGCTCGTCGCCGTCGACGTCTACCGCGCGTCGCGCAAGTGCTACTCTTTATTTTCCAACTATATATACGTATTCGCGCGCGCTAGAGCGGGGCAACATGTCTTTCCTTCCTACATATATACAGAATACGCGGCAGGGCAAGAATCGCTGACGCAAGTCTGAAATTTCGTGATCTTGTCGCGCAGCAGCAGCAGCGAGCGACGAAAAACAGCGCGATCTAAAAACGCTTTTTGCGATTTTCCATGTGCCACAGCAGTACGCGATTTTGCGCGTTGATCTTTTTTCATTTTACACCTCACTTTTCGGCTGACACTTGATGTGAAACGTATATGTGCAAAGAGAGAGAGAGAGAGAAGAGAAAAAAAAGAAACATTTTACAAGGATATATTCGAAATTCGCTGATTTTCGAGTCCGTATAAAAAAGATAAAGAGAATTTATAGGATAAGTTTATGAAAG